AACAACATGTTGAGTTGAATATTTGAGGCTCTGTTGCCAAACAGCATGAAGTAAGTTTTGTCTATGTTGAGTGTGAGTGTGTTGGTCATCATCCAAGCATATATCTTTAGCAGTTCATTGTTTACAGTGTTTTCAAGAACAGCTGGGTCTGAATGGGAGTAGACATATGTAGTGTCATCTGCAAATAGAACTGGTGTAAAGAGTTGGGATGGATTGGGGAGATCATTGATGTAGATGAGAAAGAGGAGCGGGCCTAGGACACTACCTTGGGGTACTCCTACAGCTACAGGTTGGATAGCAGAGTTGACTCCATTTGCATGTACATACTGGTGTCTGTCATTAAGATAGGATTTTAGGTAGTCAAGAGAATGTCCTCTTATGCCGTAATGATTCAGTTTGAGGTGCAGGAGATTGTGGTCAACTGTGTCAAAAGCTTTTCTTAGGTCGATAAAGAGCCCCAGGGGATATTCATTCTTATTGAGAGCTGTGTATATTTGTACAATAGCATCATTCGTGCTTTTTGTTTGGTCTAAATCCAAACTGGCATGGGTTAAGTATGTTGTTGGATGTAAGGTAGGAGTAAAGTCGCTTGTGTATTATTTTTTTCAAATATCTTGATAGTAAGGGCAAGTTTTGATATGAGTCTGTAATTGTTCAAATCAGTTGGATCTCCACCTTTGTGGATCGGGGTGACCCTTGCTGTCTTGAGCATGGATGGGAAGATTGAGGAAGCTATAGATTTGTTAAACATTGTTGCAATAATGGGCAACAGTTCTGGTGCAGCTCTTTTATATATGAATGGCGGCAAGTTATCTAGATCACCTGATTTGTTTTTTAATGATTTAATGATGAGTGAAACTTCAGTGGGATTAGTTCGAGCTAGAAATAGTATTTGGATAGTTGCCAGTGAGGTACTTGCTCGGATGGGTATTTGAGCTAGGAATTTGACTTGCTAGCTTTGATCCTACAGTAGAGAAGACATTAAATTTGTCGGCCGTGTCTATAGGTTGCATGTGAGGTTCATCTGGTTTAGTTAAGTCTATCTCTCTATTTCCAGTCGGTTTCCTTGAGCCCAAAATTTTTGAGAGGGTTTGCCAGGTACTTTTCATGTCACCTTTCATTTCACTAAATCTATTTTCATAATACATTTGCTTTCATTTATGTATTAGTTTTGTTAGTATTGATGTGTATCTTTTAGTAAATTCTTTAGTAATTAAGCCTAATCTGAACTGCTTTTCAATTTGGTGTTTTTTATTAATAGATTTGAGGATACTTCTAGTTAGCCAAGGGCTGTTTAGCCTCATTTCTGTGATCTGTTTCGTTTTGATTGGGCAATGTTTGTTGTAGAGGTTTAGGGTTTCATGTAAAAATTTTTTGACATCTTTATCGATATTATTACTGTCATCTAGCTCTCTCTGCCAATCAATGACACCTAGAGCTAGTTTTAGGTTGTTTATCGATGTCTCATCATGCAGGCGAAATGCGATCTTTCTTGTTTCTTGAGGCAGTTTAGATAAGTTGGTTATGAGAAAGGTAGGATAGTGGTCTGTGGTGTTATCTGTGATTATACCTGCTTGTAGTGGGGATATTATGTTGGTCCAGATATGGTCGAGTAACGAGGCACTAGTGTCAGAGATTCTTGTTGGCTTTGTTATAGTGGGTAGCAATAAGCTGTTGTTCATAGCATTTGTGAAATCAACTACTGGAGGGTCGGTTGCTTGGATAAGGTTGATGTTGAAATCTCCTGCTAGTATCAGATGGTGTTTATTCAACTCTGACTCAATTATCATGTTTCTAAGGTTATTGCTAAAAGTGTAAGTGTTTGAGTGTGGTAGTCTGTAGACTGCACCAACTGCTATAGGTTTCTTAAGTGTTCTTGATATGAATTTAGCTATTATATATTCACCATTTTCGTCCCATACATTAGTTGATTTCACGCATTCTAGTTCATCAGAGTAATAGGTGGCAGTGCCTCCTCCTGATTGGTCGGGCCTACAGTTATGTATGGCTGTGTAACCAGGTATGGTAAATATGTCTGTCAGATCTTGTCTGAGCCAGGTTTCAGTAAGTATAATGAAAGTTATATGTGGTTACGGGGGTCGAATTCTTAGCTCCTGGCCCCACCTCCTCCCTGGTCGCTACTAGGTTCACTGTCTTGGCTTTGAGAGCCTTATGGTGTTATTGGCTTTCTCTCTTGTAATAGAATGGAAATATTCTATTAAAGTAGAGATGGTTTTGACCAATTTCAAGCTGGAAGTAGTTTGAAATAGAGATCAAAGTGACAGAAATATTTGATTGGTTTATAGTTTATTATACAAGAAATAGAATAAAGCTTCGATTTTATGTATGATGGACTCAAAATCAAATCAAATCAAAGTTTATTCTCTTTAAGGATTACAATGCAGAGTTTACAGATTTTGGTTATTGTGTGGTTTACATGTAGTAAAATACTAATTACAGAGGGGGCCACTAGAACACCTAGCATGGCTAGGCATTTCGGGCAAAAACCCTAAATTCTAACAAATTGTGGAGTAAGTTGACTAAATACTAAGTGACAAATACTAGTGAATACAATGTGAATGCTTTTGTTTTGGCACAATACATAGTTTCTATATTGGAGTATCACAGGCAAACTTACGACTAGTTAGGAATCATTATTTTAAGATTAGGATACGTATTTCTGTGCTTATAGTCAAATGGGAGAGTGAGTGTAAGTGTGGACCACCAGGTGGTTTTTATGTAGTTAGTTGATGGGGTGTATCAGGGAGATAAGATGTTTTCTAACAGTAGTTTTGAAGGTGATGAATGTGTCTGCTGTTCTAGAGTTTTCAGGTAGGGTGTTCCAGATTTTAGGGCCTTTGACATACACTGAATTTTTGTAAGGTTTAGTCGGACACTGGGAATGTTGTAGAGATGTTTGTGTCTGGTGTTATGCCCGTGGCTCCTGTCACAACTATCAAGAAAGCATTTTAGGTCAAGGTTAATATTGGAATTTTAGGTCCTATATATGTAGATTGCACAGTAGTAAGTGTGGATGTTCTGAACAGGGAGTAAGTTTAGATCTATGAAGAGTGGGGGGGGTGTTGCCAGGGATATGAATTAGTGATTATTCTTATTGCAGATTTTTGTTGAGTTATTATTGGCTTTAGGTGTATCGTTGCAGTTGATCCCCAAGCACAAATAGCATAGGTGAGGTATGGATAAATAAGTGAGTGGTATAGTGTGAGAAGTGCAGTTTGCAGCACGTAGTATCGTATCTTGGAGAGGATCCCCACCATTTTGGATACTTTTTTTGATATGTGTTGGATATGGGTGCTGAAATTCAGGTTGTTGTCGAGGTATAGGCCAAGGAATTTGCCCTCATTATGTCTGGCAATTAGAGTGTTGTCGATCTTAATGTTAAGTTGCGCAGCACCTGCTCTGCTACCAAACATAATATACATGTAGTAGGTTTTGTCAGTGTTAAGTGCAAGTTTATTGGCTGTCATCCAAGTTGATATTCTGAGCAGCTCCTCATTAACAATGGTGTTGAGGGTGGCAAGATTAGGGTGAGAGATGACATAAATCGTGTCGTCAGCAAAGAGAATGGGTTTCAGGTGTTGGGATACGTTTGGAAGATCTTTGATGTAAATGAGGAAGAGCAGGGGACCAACGACACTTCCCTGCGGAACTCCAGTATCAAGTGGCCGTGTTGATGATGCTGTGTCTTTAATGGTGACATACTGATACCTATTAGTAAAGTAGGATTTGAAATATGCAAGCGCATAGCCTCTTATACCATAATGGTCAAGTTTGTGGAGTAGGATGCCATTGTCTACTGTGTCAAAAGCTTTTCTTAGGTCAATAAAAATTCCTAACGGATATTCCTTATTTTCCAATGCTGTGTAAAGCAGATCTAGCATTTTTACAATTGCATCATTAGTGCTTTTATTTTTCCTGAATCCAAATTGGCAGGGGTTGAGTATGTTTTGTGCCGTTATAAATGAATACAGTCTCCTGTGCATGAGTTTCTCGAAGATTTTGGATAGCAATGGTAAGTTTGATATTGGCCTATAGTTGTTTACATCTGTAGGGTCACCACCTTTATGTATTGGTGTAACCCTTGCTGTCTTGAGTAGTGTCGGGAAAGTGCTAGTTTCTAGTGACTTGTTAAAAAGTAATGAAATAGCATGCGAAAGGACATGGGCCGCTCGCTTGTACAATAATGGTGGGACATGAGACAGGTTCCCTGAGTTATTTTTAAGTGACTTTATAATCTCAGTGACTTCGGTGGGTTCAGTTGGAACAAGATAGAAGGAATTTGGGAAATTCCCATCCAGATAGTCCCCGGCATGGGCGTTGGTACGTGGGATTTTACTGGCAAGATTAGATCCTGTGGCTGAGAAGAAGTCGTTTATCTTGTTAGCTGTTTCAGTGGGATGCAGTGGTGTTTCATTAGGTTTAGTTAGGACAAGTGTAATATAGGAGAGGCCAGGGAATGTGATTATTGAACAGAGGACTACCCTGTAGTCCTGTTAGTTGAATGGGCAGTTTCTTGTGCTTATTAAATAGATTGGAAGACATCCTAGCAGATTATCTAGAAATTGTGTCAAAATGAGCATTGGAATTGACTTAAAATAGGATTCAAAGTGGGTGAAATCGCCAATACATAAGTTGCACCCAGGCAGTCAGATTTGCATTTACGTAATTCCCTAAATTTTCCATCAAATTTCTCATTTTTGGTGTCATTGCCTTCAGAAAAAGATTATCATTTCAGGAGATAAAATTATATTTTTTAAATTGTGATATTGTCAGCACTTTTAATTTTGAAGTCTTGACATTGAAAGGGTTAAAAGAACAATGTTTCATGAGATGGAAACCTGGTGACTCAACCAATATACCAACACAAAACAAAAATTAACAAATATATCCTGTACTAAATACTACCACACAACAAATTCTGTCCTCGGTAATCAGGTAATAGCTCAGCCATTTAATTGCCTTGTTCCCTCTTTCCCCAGCCTTCGGTAATGCACGGACGAGACGAAACGACAACTCTTCCAGATTTGTAAGTATACTTGTGTATGTGTGTATATGTTTATGAATTTGTTAGCTGAAGTTTGTGTGTGTGTGTACTCACCTGTTTGTGGTTGCAGGGATTGAGACTCAGCTCCTGGCCCCGCCTCTTCACTGATCGCTACTAGGTCCTCTCTTTCCCTGCTCCATGAGCTTTATCATACTTCATCTTAAAGCTATGTATGGTTCCTGCCTCCACTACATCACTTGCTAGACTATTCCACTTCCTGACAACTCTATGACTGAAGAAATACTTCCTAACATCCCTTTGACTCATCTGAGTCTTCAGCTTCCAAATGTGACCCCTCGTTTCTGTATCCCATCTCCAGAACATCCTGTCTCTGTTCACCTTATCTATTCCATGTCTTCCCTGACCCTCCTGTCCTCCAGTGTCATCAGGCCAGTTTCCCTCAACCTTTCTTCGTAGGACATTCCCCTTAGCTCTGGAACTATCCTTGTTGCAAACCTTTGCACTTTCTCTTAATTTCTTGACATGTTTGACCAGGTGTGGGTTCCAAACTGATGCTGCATACTCCAGTATGGGCCTGACGTACACAGTGTACATTGTCTTGAAGATTCCTTACTGAGGTATTGGAATGCTATTCTCAGGTTTGCCAGGCACACCTATATGCTGCAGCAGTTATCTGGTTGATGTGTGCTTCTGGAGACGTGCTTGGTATTATACTCACCCCACGATCTTTCTCCTTGAGCGAGGTTTGCAGTCTTTGGTCACCAAGCCTATACCCTGTCTGCGGTCTTCTTTGCTCTTCTCCGATCTTCATTTGGCAGGGTTAAATTCGAGGAGCCAGTTGCTGGACCACTTGTCCAGCTTGTCCAGGTCTTTTTGTAGTCCGGCCTGATCCTCGTCTGATTTAATTCTCCTCATTATCTTCACATCATCTGCGAACAGGGACACTTCTGTGTGTGTGTGTGTGTGTACTCACCTATTTGTACTCACCTATTTGTGGTTGCAGGGGTCGAGTCATAGCTCCTGGCCCCGCCTCTTCGCTGATTGCTACTAGGTCCTCTCTCTCCCTTCCCCATGAGTTTTATCATACCTCGCCTTAAAACTATGTATGGTTCCCGCCTCCACTACGTCACTTTCTAGGCTATTCCACGGCCTGACTACTCTGACTGAAGAAATACTTCCTAACATCTCTTTTATTCATCTGAGTCTTCAACTTCCAATTGTGACCTCTTGTGTCTGTGTCCCTTCTCTGGAACATCCCGTCTTTGTCCACCTTGTCTATTCCGGTCTGTATTTTATATGTCGTTATCATGTCTCCCCTGACCCTCCTGTCCTCCAGTGTCGTCAGGCCGATTTCCCTCAACCTTTCTTCGTAGGACAATCCCCTTAGCTCTGGGACTAGTCTTGTTGCAAACCTTTGCATTTTCTCAAATTTCTTGACGTGCTTGACTAGGTGTGGATTCCAAACTGGTGCTGCATGCTCCAGTATGGGCCTGTCATAAATGGTATACAGAGTCTTGAATGAATCCTTACTGAGGTATCGGAACACTATCTGTAGGTTTGCCAGGCACCCGTATGCTGCAGCAGTTATCTGATTGATGTGCGCCTCAGGAGATATGCTCGGTGTTATACTCAACCCCAGATCTTTTTCCTTGAGTGAGGTTTGCAGTCTTTGGCCATCTAAACTATATTGTGTCTGCGGTCTTCTTTGCCCTTCCCCAATCTTCATGACTTTGCATTTGGCAGGGTTAAACTCAAGGAGCCAGTTGCTGTACCAGGCTTGTAGCCTGTCCAGGTCTCTTTGTAGTCCTGCATGATCCTCATCCTATTTGATTCTTCTCATTAATTTCGCATCATCTGCAAACAAGGACACTTCTGAGTCTATCCCTTCTGTTATGTCATTCACATATACCAAGAACAGCACAGGTCCTAGGACTGACCCCTGTGGAGCCCCGCTTGTCACAGGCGCCCACTCTGACACCTCGTCACATACCATGACTCGTTGTTGCCTCCCTGTCAGGTAGTCTCTGATCCATTGCTCTGTGTGTGTGTGTGTGTGTGTGTGTGTGTGTGTGTGTGCACTCACCTAATTGTTCTCGCCTAATTGTGGTTGCAGGGGTCGAGACTCGGCTCCTGGCCCCGCCTCTTCACTGATCGCTACTAGGTCCTCTCCCTCTCCCTCTGTGTGTGTGTGTGTGTGTGTGTGTGTGCGTGCGTGCTCATGTATGTGTGCATGCACCCACCTATTTGTGGTTGCAGGGGTAGATTCATTGCTCCTTGTCCCACCTCTTCATTGATTGCTACTAGGTCCACTCTCTTCCTTCTCTATGAGCTTTATCAAACTCTTCTTAAAGCTATGTATGGATCCTGCCTCCACTGCATCACTCTACAGATTGTTTCACTTCCTGACAACTCTATGGCTGAAGAAATACTTCCTAACGTCCCTGTGGCTCATCTGAGTTTTCACCTTAGAGCTGTGACCCCTTGTTTCTGTGTCCCATCTACGAAACATTCTGTCCCTATCCACCTTGTCAATACCTCTCAGTATTTTATATAACATTATCATATCCCTCCTATCTCTCCTGTCCTCCAGTGTTGTCCGGTTGATTTCCCTTAACGTCTCCTTGTAAGGCATACCCTGTAACTCAGGGACTAGTTTTGTTGCAAACCTTTGCACTTTCTCTAATTTCTTGACGTGTTTGACCAAGTGTCAGTTCCATACTGGTGCTGCATACTGCAATATGGGCATGCGTGTGTGTGTGTGTGTGTGTGTTTTACAAAATGATGATAACACGATTGCTAACAAACTACAGAACAAGTGGTATTTGAATCCATGGCAAGTGAGTTATAAAACTCCAGGCCAGTGTGTAAGCCACTGGCCAGCTGGCCTCAGTAAAATTCATCTAACTAATTATATTTTTATACGCATATGGTGCATAGAAACACACACTCCAGGTATATTCCAGGTATATACACATGTATGTGTATGTATGCATATACATGTACGTTCATGAACATACATACCTCTCACCTCCTTCCTGTCCTCCGCAGGGTAAATACATGGAGATAGAATTTGATCATAAAGGTGACCCCATAGGCGGCAGCATAACTCATTGTGAGTATAATATGCACACCCTTGTGTAGCTGTCACTCTTAGTAGAATATTGTACTAATAAATCCCATGTGTGTATTTTTTTTTTTTTGTATGACTGATAATGTTATACAGGATTTATCACTAGTATAATATTTATATGTAACTCTTTGGGTATGTTACAAGGTTATACTGTTATATACCTGAAGTAAAACCCTGCTTGGGTGTTACTTCAGTGTTATACAGGTATATCACAGGTGTATGTTAAAAAAGAAATTTCTGTTTAAAGTCTGTTGTGATTCCATCTTTAAAACAGTACAGTTCATTTAGCATCAGTTACAATTTGCTTTATGGCAAGATAGATGGGATTTATTATACAGTGTAATAAAATAATTTATTGTTTTATAATTATGTAACATCTAACATATTATAATAATTTTAAAACGAGACAGTATAGCATAGTTTCTCTATTTCATGCTTTACTACCAAGACTTGTTAGAAAAGGTGAGTTCATGTTCATTTAATAATAATATAAATAGTGTGAGAAATCACACTATTTATATTATTATTAAATGAACTCGCTATTTTTTCACAGTGGTTATTTTAATGTTTATTTTATGGGTCACCATGCCTTGGTGGGAAATGGCTGACATATCAAAAAATATTATACAGTGGACCCCCGCATAACGATTACCTCCGAATGCGACCAATTATGTAAGTGTATTTATGTAAGTGCGTTTGTACGTGTATGTTTGGGGGTCTGAAATGGACTAATCTACTTCACAATATTCCTTATGGGAAAAAATTCGGTCAGTACTGGCACCTGAACATACTACTGGAATGAAAAAAGTTCGTTTAACCGGGGGTCCACTGTAATATATATATAATATATATTATATATAATATTATATATATATATATATATATATATAATATATATATTATATATATATATATATATATATATATATATATATATATAATATATATATTATATATATATATATATATATATATATATATATATATATATATATATATATATATATAATATATATTTATATTCTAGGTAGTAGGTTGGTAGACAGAAACCGCCCAGGGAGGTACTACCGTCCTGCCAAGTGAGTGTAAAACGAAAGCCTGTAATTGTTTTACATGATGGTAGGATTGCTGGTGTCCATTTTTCTGTCTCATAAACATGCAAGGTTTCAGGTACGTCTTGCTACTTCTTCTTACACTTAGGTCACACTACACATACATGTACAAGCATATATATATATATATATATACACATCCCTCTGGGTTTTCTTCTATTTTCTTTCTAGTTCTTGTTCTTGTTTATTTCCTCTTACCTCCATGGGGAAGTGGAACAGAATTCTTCCTCCGTAAGCCATGCGTGTTATAAGAGGCGACTAAAATGCCAGGAGCAAGGGGCTAGTAACCCCTTCTCCCGTATAAATTACTAAATTTATAGAGAAACTTTCGTTTTTCTTTTTGGGCCACCCTGCCTTGGTGGGATACGGCCGGTGTGTTGAAAGAAAGAAGATGTATATATATTTATATATATATATATATATTTTTTTTTTCAACAAGTCGGCCGTCTCCCACCGAGGCAGGGTGACCCAAAAAAGAAAGAAAATCCCCAAAAAGAAAATACTTTCATCATCATTCAACACTTTCACCACACTCACACATTATCACTGTTTTTGCAGAGGTGCCCAGAATACAACAGTTTAGAAGCATATACGTGTAAAGATACACAACATAACCCTCCAAACTGCCAATATCCCAAACCCCTCCTTTAAAGTGCAGGGATTGTACTTCCTATTTCCAGGACTCAAGTCCGACTATATGAAAATAACCGGTTTCCCTGAATCCCTTCACTAAATATTACCATATTACACTCCAACAGATCGTCAGGTCCCAAATACCATTTGTCTCCATTCACTCCTATCTAACACGCTCACGCACGCTTGCTGGAAGTCCAAGCCCCTCGCCCACAAAACCTCCTTTACCCCCTCTCTCCAACCCTTTCGAGGACGACCCCTACCCCACCTTCCTTCCCCTACAGATTTATATATATTTATTTATTTATAATATATACAGTGGACCCACAGTTTTTATCCTTAATCTGTTCCAAAAGGTCGGCCGAAATCCAAAATTGATGAAAACCAAAGTAATATTTCCTTTAAGAAATAATGTAAATCCAATTAATCCATTCCAGACACCCAAAAATGTTAACAAAAAATACATTTTTAGAGAATAACTATAGTGTTACAGCTCTTCAGTGGTTAACTTTTCCCTATGGTCATCCTGGCCACTCACATGCAACCCCATGGACTTCCACAAAGCCACAATAGATTCCACAACAGGCATAGGGTTGTCAAGTTTACACTAACTTATATTAAGTTAGTAATGGAACTAGGCATTAAAAAGCACAAAAAGTAAAATACATACACAGTACATTCATTACTTACCTCAAAATATTTGTAGTCTTAATGTAAGGCGAGAGGTGAGTAGTACTTATTTGTAGGAAGTCAGTGTAGGTAGCCGGTAGGTAGCCTGGGCAACATACAGTGAAACCTCAAATATCGAACTTAATCCATTCCAGGAGCTAGTTCTAAATTCGAAAAGTCTGAAATTCGAAGCAATATTTCCCATAAGAAATAATTGAAATACAATTAATCCGTTCCAGAAACCCAAAAATATTAACAAAAATAATACATTTTATAGAGATTAATTACAGTTTTACATACACACACAACAAATGCTATAGTCTTTAATTATGTATAGTAATATAAAATAACATTTTTACTTACCTTTATTGAAGATTGGTGATGGCATCTGGAAGATAGGGAGGAGGAGAGAGGGAGTTGGGGTTAGTGTTTGGAAGGAGAATCCCCCTCCATGAGGACTTTCGGTATCAAAGCCCTCTCTGGGGTTGCTTCCCTTCTCTGTATTTTAATGCCACTAGGACCAGCTTGAGTCATTGGACCCCAGTCTCACAAAATAACTGTCTACAGTCCTCTGTTTCTGTCTCACAAAATAACTGTCCACAATCGTCTGTTTGTCTCACAAAATAACTCCACAGTCGTCTGTTTCTGTCTCACAAAATAGTTGTCCACAGTCGTCCATTTCTGTCTCACAAAATAACTGTCCACAATCGTCTGTTTCTGTCTCACAAAATAACTCCACAGTCGTCTGTTTCTGTCTCACAAAATAACTCCACAGTCGTCTGTTTCTGTCTCACAAAATAACTCCACAGTCGTCTGTTTCTGTCTCACAAAATAACTGCCCACAATCATCTGTTTGTCTCACAAAATAACTCCACAGTCATCTGTTTCTGTCTCACAAAATAACTGTCCACAATCGTCTGTTTGTCTCACAAAATAACTCCACAGTCGTCTGTTTCTGTCTCACAAAATAACTGTCCACAGTCATCTGTTTCTGTCTCACAAAATAACTGTCCACAGTCCTCTGTACATCCTGGCAAGCTTAACAAGTCCCAGTCCAATCTCATACTTCTGTATTATTTCCTTCTTCACATCTATGGTGTTTCTCACTTACTTTACCACAGGGGTACCACTAGCAAGTTTCTTTGGGCCCATGGTAGCTTATTTCACAGCCCCACAAGCACTAAACACAATTAAATACGTAATCGTAAAATGTGTGAATGAGATCGCAGATTAGTGTTCACTCAAGCATAAACAAAGCTAGACTACAGTTTTTAAACTGCAACATTAACTCCCCTCCTTCAGAGTGCAGGCACTGTACTTCCCATCTCCAGGACTCAAGTCCGGCCTGCCGGTTTCCCTGAATCCCTTCATAAATGTTACTTTGCTCACACTCCAACAGCACGTCAAGTATTAAAAACCATTTGTCTCCATTCACTCCTATCAAACACGCTCACGCATGCCCGCTGGAAGTCCAAGCCCCTGTCACACAAAACCTCCTTTACCCCCTCCCTCAAACCATTCCTAGGCCGACCCCTACCCCGCCTTCCTTCCACTACAGACTGATACATTCTTGAAGTCATTCTATTTCGCTCCATTCTCTCTACATGTCCGAACCACCTCAACAACCCTTCCTCAGCCCTCTGGACAACTGTTTTGGCAATCCCGCACCTCCTCCTAACTTCCAAACTATGAATTCTCTGCATTATATTCACACCACACATTGCCCTCAGACATGACATCTCCACTGCCTCCAGCCTTCTCCTCGCTGCAACATTCATCACCCATACTTCACACCCATATAAGAACGTTGGTAAAACTATACTCTCATACATTCCCCTCTTTGCCTTCAAGGACAAAGTTCTTTGTCTCCACAGACTCCTAAGTGCACCGCTCACCCTTTTCCCCTCATCAATTCTATGATTCACCTCATCTTTCATAGACCCATCCGCTGACACATCCACTCCCAAATATCTGAATACATTCACCTCCTCCATACTCTCTCCTTCCAGTCTGATATCCAATCTTTCATCACCTAATCTTTTTGTTATCCTCATAACCTTACTCTTTCCTGTATTCACTTTTAATTTTCTTCTTTTACATACTCTACCAAATTCATCCACCAACCTCTGCAACTTCTCTTCAGAATCTCCCAAGAGCACAGTGTCATCAGCAAAGAGCAACTGTGACAACTCCCACTTTATGTGTGATTCTTTATCTTTTAACTCCACGCCTGTTGCCAAGACCCTCGCATTTACTTCTCTTACAACCCCATCTATAAATATATTAAACAACCACGGTGACATCACACATCCTTGTCTAAGGCCTACTTTTACTGGGAAATTAAGATTAACTAAGCAATGATATATTCATTGGTAAAAATTACAGTAAACAAATTACAACATGAAGTACAAATGAGTATTTCAAATAAGAAGCATTATAGTAACAAATTTGTAGCATAACAATGTATAATATAATCCGATCATAGAATATAAACATTGCAGTTGAGATGCTTGAGGGGTAAAGGGGGACACATCATGGAGACAGCATGAGTATTTGGCATGAGAGAATGAATGATTTGTTCAATTTGAGACAATGAGACAAATATAAAGGCTTGTGCAATGAATAATCCTCAGTGTGACAGTGAAAATGATGAGGAATGTTTACTAAATGTGTGGATTGAAAAACAAATAAAGAGAGGTGTTTCATTTGATGGCCTTATTATTAGGGAAAAGCTATATCATACTATAAAACCATGTGAGAGGAGGAAGGACAAGCAAAAAATGAGTGCATATTCAGCTATGGATGGTTTATCTGATCTAGAATACATAGTGAAATGTATAAAGAACCACAGGGCAAAACATGACAGAATACCTGAGCACTCTGCTGCAACAATAAATTAATGAGGCTGCTTGAACATCCCAAAATCTCCAACCTTCATCATCGTATCACCAACCCCAGCCAACAGCCTGAGCCCAGTAGGGTCATAGCTGTCAACCTGGGCCAAGTAGGGTCACAGCCATCAGCTTGGACCCAGGAGGGCCACAGCCATCCTCTCCACTCATTATGTTCAGCATCACCAACCCCACTTGACGGTAAGTAACAGATACTTTAAAATATTAATGTAACCATTTTTTAGCTACTTGTACTCCTTAATGTGTCCGAACCTCACTAGAATTCAGGTATTTTGCAGAGCACCTTCAACAGAATTAGGTATTCTGTGGCTCATTGGTAGTGCACTCACCTCACACACACTGAGTGTCTATGGTTCATTCCTCAGCTTGGGTGGAACATTGGGCATGCTTCCTTACACCTGCTGTCCCTATTCACCTGGCAGTAAGTAGGTACCTGGGTGTTAGTTGACTCATGTGGGTTACATCCTGGGGGACAAAACTAAAGGACCACAATGGAAGTAAGACAGAGTCCTGGATGACACACTGACTTTCTTGGGTTATCCTGGGTGCTAACCCTCCAGGTAAACATTTCGAATAAATCTTATTTTATGAGAGTAAAAAAAAAACTTATTTGGATTTTTTTGAGGCCTGAAGAATGCAACCCAGTTTTTTACCTATGTTTTTCAGTTCATATGGCACAGAAATTATAGGTAGCACAGTTTTCATGAATTTAACCCACTTGAATTTTGAATATCTATAATATATTTATAATGAAAGGAGCGAGTAAGAAAATGAGTGAGAAAGTGAGTTTGATAATGAGAGTGTGAGTGTGAGAGAGTGAAACCGGAAGAGGAAGAATAACTAAAGCAGTTTTGTTGCTCCTCCCACAGTCTAGAGTAACCAACTATGCCTCAGGGGAGAGGAACTTCCACATCTTCTACCAACTGTTGGCAGGAGCTGACATCCAGACCCTCAGTAAGTCCACCAGCACTTGTGTCTCTCTTAATGTTGTTATTTTCAGTCTACTGACACCTGTGTCACCTTAACATTGTTGGTTCTCTCACTCTACCAACACCTGTGCCAACTTAACATTATTGGTTCTTTCAGTCTACCAACACCTATGTCACCTCAACATTGTTGGTTCTCTCTGTCTACCAACACCTATGCCACCTTAAGAATGTAGTCACTCAGTTGACCAACACCTGGGTCACTATTATACTCTTGTCACTCTTGGCTTAACATGTTATCCTGTCCTGTCATTGCAATTCCCCTTCTGTCCTCTTGCCCTTACTGTCCTCCTCTCTCTCTTCTCCTACCAACCTGAAGTTACCATCTTCCTGACAGCACCTGAGCCCTGTCAGCATGTAACTCTGTGCAAGAAAGGTATAAAATACCGACAATATGAAAGTTGAGACACATGTGCAACATCCAGATGTTGCACATGTGTCTCAACTTTCAGCATGTAACTCTCTAGACAACACCTGTTCTGCAAACCCTTCTGGAGGTTCATAATATTGTCAAAAGTATTCTTAGAGTGAGTGAGTGAGAGTGAGAGTGAGTGAGTGAGTGAGTGTGTGTGTGTGTGTGTGTGTGTGTGTGTGTGTGTGTGTGTGTGTGTGTGTGTGTGTGTGTGTGTGTGTGTGTGTGTGTCTGTGTGGTGTGTGTGTGTGTGTGTGTGTGTGTGTGTATTCACCTATTTGTGGTTGCATAGGTCAAGTCATAGCTCCTGGCTCTGCCTCTTCACTGGTCACTACTACTGTGTGTGTGTGTGTGTGCGTGCATGCATGCATGCATGCATGTGTGCACACGCGTGTGCATGCATGCGTGTACTCGTGTTTGTGGTTGCAGGAGTTGAGTCACATCTTCTGTGTGTGTGTAACCTACATGTTGACAATAAAACAAACACATACGGAAGTGAAGATTGTAGTAAACGCATCTGTTTACCACATACTTTACCAGACTATATACAATATCCCTTCTGAATCTTGTAATGATAACACAAACCATACCCTGAAACTGTGGATTTAGAACTAATAGTTAGGGAGAACATACCTATATATTTCTTGATATGAAGAGAGAGAGAGGAATGAACATGGACTTGAACTGTGGTCCTGGCATGTACCAGGTTTAATGCTGTACAACTAAGGCATGAAGTTTATAAAATAGGAAGATTTTGTGGCTCTGTGGTAATGTGTTGGGCCTGCTGCATGCCAAGACCATGGTTAGAGTCCCTCTCCAGTCTTCTCTTCATTCAGTGACAGTCATTCATTGCAACTTAGCTGGAGTTTATTGCCTGATGTAATCGCTTGAAAGATTGGAAAAAGATAGAGAAAGAGAGAGAGACTAACAGAGGGTGGTATTAACAGAGTGTCTAAGACTACAGAGGAACGTTGAGAACTACACGTTGTTGCAAGCTCCACGACACTCGCCTTCTGATGCCCTTGATGACAAAACTGAGTTTAACATCACCAAGGTACTGTGGCCTGCCTTGTATGTGTATCCCTGCTGTGTATGCATTCCTGTGTCCTACCTTGCATGAGTCCCTTGATCATTTGTCCCTAACTTGATGTTTCAGAATCAGTATCCCTGATTCATTGTCCCTGAATAAATTTTTCTTGAATTAGTATTCCTGGAGTCAGTTATTCCATGAATACAGGATCCATCAATCCAAGAGTATTCAATTATTTACTGGCACCCACAACGTCAGGTGTTTGACATGTTCTGCCATCACTGTCAAGTGTTTAACATGTCTGTCTTCAGCATCAGTGTCTGATGTTTGTTTGCCTTCATTGTCAATTGTCTGATGTTTGTTTGCCTTTAATGTCAGTGTGACTTGTCTGCCTTTAATGTCAGTGTGACTTGTCTGCCTTTAATGTCAGTGTCTGATGTGTGCCTGCCTATCAAATTCAAATTCAACTTTTTATTTCTTTCCAAAGTTTACATTATGTGATTTACATATTATAAGATATTGCTAAACACCATGAAAGCCACTAGCATGCCTGAGCATTTCAGGCAGACTAATAGCTTTAGTATATGTCCTGGTGCCCACAGCGTGCGCTGGATGCCCTGGGGGTGACAACAGAGGAGCAGGTAGAGGTGCTGAAGATAGTTGCTGCTGTCCTGAAGCTGGGTAACCTCACCTTTACATCTGTAAACAACATTGATGGCACTGAAGGATGCATCAATGAGAATGAGTATGGTGAGTGAGGGAGAGAAGTACTTAGGGAGGAAAGATGGAAGGGGAACGGAAAGGGAGGGAAATGAGGAAACAAAAGCAAACTGTCTCCCTGTTGTATTCTATCACACAGGATGGGTTTTCTTGTCATATTCCATCACACAGGGATGGGTTTTCCTGTCAGAACATGAATGGTTCCCTGTCATATTCCATCACACAGGAAGAGTTAGACACATAGTGTTGAAATGTGCCAATCTGAACTTAGAGACTTCATTAGGTTAATGAAAATATCAAGTATTCTACTATGGGTTAATCAGCTACAAAGATTTCCTTCCAGCAGAACTAAAATTACTATACCATTACTGCACTTAGAAATTACCATCACTCGGGATATAATCCTCCCCTACACACACACACACACACACACACACACACACACACAGAAAGAGACAGAAACAGTTAAAGTAGATCAGTGTTGATAAAGTGATGTTGAAGGTAAGTGATAATGAAAGTAAGTGACAGTGAGGATGGTGTTCACACAGAGCTGCACGAGGTGAGTGAGCTCCTGTCATGTGAGGTGTCGTGGTTGAAGGCAGCACTGCAGTCCAGAACGGTGGAGGCTCGTGGTGAGACTGTCATGGCAGAACTCTCTGCACTGGAGGCTACACGCACTAGAGACGCACTCTGTCGTGCACTCTACAACAGACTCTTCACCTGGGTGGTTGCCAGGCTCAACGAAGCAATAAAGGTGTGTGTCTCTCTGTAGGTGCTATGGCCTCTAGGTTGGTATTAATAGATTCTAAAAAGATATCTTTTCCTTTAAGATGTAGTAATTATCTTTTTCTGGGTGTAGTTATATTTAATATATGTACAGCCTCTCCTCACTTTGCGACATACTCGTTTACCAACGCCTAGGACTTACGACGGGCTCTCTGACCAGTATTCATATCTAAATAATGTATATTAGAGCTGATTTCCTCTATTCTGTTTAATACAATATACAGTACAGTGCTGTATAAAAATATACCAGAAATGTTATAAATGATGCAAAGATGACATTAGAACAGTATCAGAGATGATTGACACAAACTCACTACCATTATAATATGCTCCTCACTTAGTGACAAATTCGTTTAACGACATGGTCTCAGGAACAGAACTCCGTCGTTAAGTGAGGAGAGGCTATATACTATATACGTATATCTAAAAGGACATAATTATTCCTAGGTGAGTGAAAAAAGTAGTGTAAATGAGATTTTTTCCATATTTAATGGATAAAATCATTCATCAGACTTGCACAGGATACAAATGAAGTGTTGTTTGATTTGCAGGTGAAGACAATGGGCGTAGGAAAGTTTTGGGAATCCTCGATATTTTCGGGTTTGAGATCCTTGAAACCAACAGCTTTGAGCAACTCATTATCAACTTCTGCAATGAGAAACTTCACCAGGTTAGCCATTGCTTTTGTTAATATTAGCACAACCAGATCAGATGTTCTTGCTTATGTACTGTATTAGCATTGCTAGTCAGATGTTGTTGCTGATACAGGGTATTAACATCACAAGGTAAGCTGTTATTCTTGCTAATATTAGCATCATTAGGTCAGCTGTTATTCTTACAAATAATAGCACCATTCTTACTACTGCTTCATTGTAAATAGTTATTGCTTCTATTTTTTATTTACAGTATAAAGTTATCATTACACTGCCAACAAAGGATTCAGTTCATGCTTAAAAACATGTTTGTAAATAATTTTGGGATATTGTATTCAAATCTTAATTTAGTTAAGTAAGTAAGCAAGTTTATTCAGGTATGTATGTACAGTAGGATCTCGCTTATACGGTGGGTTAAGTTCCCGACTCCCACCAAAAAAATAAAAATTGCTGAAAAGTGCAAGATAGCTTTTATTTTTTATTTTCAAATGCACATACATACAAGCCTGATAACATGTTTACACTATCATATATTAAGTGCAAAGTGCACAAATGCTGTAATCGGACTGAATCACCAACAATAAAATGGCTGTGATGAATGGTTTTGAAAACCGACAAGTTGAAGAATTGAGACACTTATGCAACATATGGGAATCTTTATTGAAGAAACGTTTCGCCACACAGTGGCTTCATCAGTCCAATACAAAGTAGAAGTGGGTAAGGAGAGTAGAAGTTTGAGGTAATCAGTCCCTCAACCTGGAATCGATGTGTTCAGTCCATCACTCTTGTAGGAAGTGCAGCATAGGGCCAGAGAGGTGGCTTATATACTGCGGTGAGATGAGTTGAAGCAGGAAGAGGCGGGATCACAGTGGGACCTGCCACTAGTGTAAGTAGGTCGTCGTCCAAAAGTTGGGCAAGCGTTGAAGTCTTTGTACCAAGATCCCATGATGTTGCAGTGTCTGACAGATGTGATGAATGGTTTTGAAAACCGACAAGTTGAAGAATTGAGACACTTATGCAACATATGGGAATCTTTATTGAAGAAACGTTTCGCCACACAGTGGCTTCATCAGTCCAATACAAAGTAGAAGTGGGTAAGGAGAGTAGAAGTTTGAGGTAATCAGTCCCTCAACCTGGAATCGATGTGTTCAGTCCATCACTCTTGTAGGAAGTGCAGCATAGGGCCAGAGAGGTGGCTTATATGGACTGAACACATCGATTCCAGGTTGAGGGACTGGTTACCTCAAACTTCTACTCTCCTTACCCACTTCTACTTTGTATTGGACTGATGAAGCCACTGTGTGGCAAAACGTTTCTTCAATAAAGATTCCCATATGTTGCATAAGTGTCTCAATTCTTCAACTTGTCGGTTTTCAAAACCATTCATCACATCTGTCAGACACTGCAACATCATGGGATCTTGGTACAAAGACTTCAACGCTTGCCCAACTTTTGGACGACGGCCTACTTACACTAGTGGCAGGTCCCACTGTGATCCCGCCTCTTCCTGCTTCAACTCATCTCACCGCAGTATATAAGCCACCTCTCTGGCCCTATGCTGCACTTCCTACAAGAGTGATGGACTGAACACATCGATTCCAGGTTGAGGGACTGATTACCTCAAACTTCTACTCTCCTTACCCACTTCTACTTTGTATTGGACTGATGAAGCCACTGTGTGGCGAAACGTTTCTTCAATAAAGATTCCCATATGTTGCATAAGTGTCTCAATTCTTCAATAAAATGGCTCCAGAAGTCCTTCCCTGACTCAGCTGTGGAGTGCATCAGGCTGAAAAGGTGGAACAAGCACTGAACATAATGAACAGTGGATGTAATTGAAAACCACTGAATTAGCGGAACACCGGAAAGTGGGGCCCTACTGTATTAGTTTGACGAAATAAATTCACATCGAATGAGCTGTTGGAGTGTGAGCAGGGTAATATTTTGTGAAGGGATTCAGGGAAACTGGTTAGCCAGACTTGAGTCCTGGAGGTGGGAAGTACATTGCCTATACTTTGAAAAAGGGGTTTGGGATATTTGCCGGTTGGAGTGACATCTGAACTGTCATATCTATTCACCTCTGCAAAGACATTGATTATGTGTGAATGATGGTGAAAGTGTTTCTTTCGTTTTGGGTCACCCTGCCTCGGTGGGAGATGACCAGTGTATTAAAACAAAAAAGCGTTATCTTAATTCTGAATATTACAAATGTAGGAAAGATAAAATATCTGTAACCTATAGCATTAGATATGACAAAGTTTATGAAAATAGGAGGATAGCCAAAATGAGAAATCTGTGAAGAATTGAATTTTCAGAGTTGAGAAATTGAGAATCCCAGATACAATGGGGATTGAAGAAGAGAGAAACAAGAACACTTATGATAAGAGATTGTGCGTAGTAAGAAAAGCAATACATGTTCAATACATGCAGTTGTGCTTATACTTGTTTTAAATAAGAAAAGAAAATCCACTCATAGATGGGTTGACATGAATACTAAAGAAAGATAGTATAGTGAGTTATATTCCCTTTCAGTTTTAACCTTAATAGATGGAATAACATTGTTCAGAGCAAAAAGAAAGGGCTGAAAAAACTACAGTCATGAGGTCAGAGTGTAGAGCCATCATTTACAGGAAGTATGTGCACAAATGATAGATGATAAAAAATTATTTCTCAGAACCATGGTTTACATGTGTTTCAGAAGATGGCAACATTATTGACATACTTTATAGAAAGCCCCCTGATTATGCAGAGTAATAGTGAGAAGAACAGTATCAATATAGTCTATATAAATATATTAGCAATTTGATAATAGTGCATTGTTTATTTCTGATGTGTATATCAGTTGTGAACTGCTCCAGGCACATTTGAAACACTTCAACCATGGGAAAGCTTAGGATGGTAAATTTTCATAAATATCAATATTTTTGCCATGGATTTTAATGTTCTAAATTATTATGGAGGAAGTGTGACATGTATGGAATCCCACAGGTTCTGACGGAAGTGACTCTGAAGCAGACACAAGAAGACTACCTCAGGGAAGGCATTGACTGGACACCCATTGATATACCCACCAATAATGCAGTAGTTGACCTAATAGAACAGGTAGGCCACTTTACTTAATATACATATAATTCACTTATACTTTTTGCATGCTATATATATAGGACAATCAATTGTAATATCAGTCCTGTCCTGAAACTATTTCTTGATGGTTGCAACAGAACATACTACTGTGCATAATATATATACAAGACAGTCAGTTCTAATAGCAGAACATATAGGCATAATACTAGACACAAAAATCTCTATGATATTCCCAGTGTCTGACTCAACCTGTGTAAAAACTCAATGTTCAGAAAGGACCTAAAATCTTGAATTCTCTGCCTGAGGATTCTAGAGCCTCTCTGTCTGCCAGCCACTTCAGACCTACTGTTAAAAAACACCTCCTTACCCTAATGTGATCCCAACAATAATTTATTATTATCCTGTCAATAATTTATTATTCTGAACAATTCTTCAAACCATGAAATCTGCCTCATCCAATAGTACCCTTGTTCTTGTTTTAACACTCCTTCAACTCGGGTACCTAGCTTCATCCTTAATGTATCACTCTTTAGAATTTTTTATCGAATTACTGAATATCTCCATTTATCTGTCATTTAACATGGTTTTGTTTGGCACGTTTTGGTTATAGCACTATTGAAGAATTGCGGCATGTTTTTGTATAACACTTCATAAAATTAACTTAACACGGTTCGGTTTGCGGGACGGGAAAATTTTTTGAGCGCACGTCGCCCGCGGGATATACTCTGCTTGGCTGTGGGTTAGACTATAGTCAACAGGGAAGACATACCGCCATCCCCCACCACCCTCCACCACCCTCCGTCACCCCCACCACCCTTCGGTTCATACGCGTGTAGTGCGTACCATCTTCTGCTAGGAGTTTAGATCTTTTAATTGCCATATCTTAAATCTGCCAAGCAGTCATAGCACCCAGTAGGCATACAAGTGGTGCTGAAAGTGGCAAGAAAAGGTATAAGTGTTTAAGTCTTAGAATTAATGAAGAAAATAGAGATATTAAACAAGAGATATCCTGTGGCCATAATGAAGCATCACTGTACACACAAAAACAATGAGGTAAATATGAGTTTGTGTGATGACTGACTGACTGATTTACTGACTTACTTGACTGACTGATTGATTTACTGACTTCACTGATTGACTTACTGACTTGACTGACTTACTGACTGACTGTATTACTGACTTGACTGACTTACTGACTGACTGTATTACTGACTTGACTGATTTACTGACTGACTTAAAGTTAGACTTTTTCACTGAAGAGGACCCTGAAATGGTGTCTAGAGCAGCTGATGCCTTACCGTCAGTTGTATAATGTACTGCGGGGTAAAATAGAACAGAAATCTATTACAGAATTTATGCATACTCCAGTACAACCATCGACTTCAGTACCAGAACCTCTACCATCCACCTCGGCCAAGTAGAGCCACAGCATAACTCTCCACTCTCCACAGTTGTCTGCAAACACCAGGTAAGAAATACTATTATTTCTGTTGCATTTGTAATCTTAAGCAGTAAAAACAACATAATACATCACGACACTGAACTACAATTACATATTCACTTTTATTTTTGTAAGATCTGTTGGTCTAAAAAAACAGTTGTTTGGCTTTTTGGAGGCTCCCAGGAATGTAACCCTATTTTTCCCATAAGTTTTTCAGTTTGTCTAACATGGTTTTAACTAAAACGGCATTTTCAGGAACATAACTACCATATTAAATGATGGTCTACTGTAATATAAACTAAGTATGCTGTCAGTTAGCCATGAGCTATTTAATCTGGTTGTTGTCACCTGTTAAGGAATAAGTGAGCACTAGGGTTAATGTCTTGGTAGTTTAGTAATTCTCTCTGCCAATATGTGTTGCTTGTTGCCACTATAAAGTTATTCACTGATGCCTCATCATGAAACTTAAGAGATTTTACTAGTTTCATGGGGTAATTTTGTTAAGTTGGTGACTGGAAAAGTGGTGGTTGTGATCAGTAGTATTATCTGTGATTATGCCAGTTATATGAGGAGCTGGAATATTTGCCCACATGTAATCAAGTGATGTTGCAATAGGCTCATTTATTCTTATTGGCTTAGTTATTGAGGGTATCAATAAACAATTGTACATATTATTCAGGAAGTTTGCTGCTAGGGAAAGGAGGTCTTCTGATTGAACGAGATTGATGTTGAAGTCTCCATCGGGTTGGGTATTGTGCAATCATGTATTCTCCAAGATCATCTCTGGTGCAGGTTGAATGAGTACATTTCACCTTAGTAGTGTAGCAGATTGCTGTTTCTCCAGGCCAGTGTATAGAAGTAAAACATACTAATTGTGAAGTGGTAATAATGAACTAAAAGTATTTTTATTATTATTATCACACTGGCCGATTCCCACCAAGGCAGGGTGGCCCAAAAAAGAAAAACTTTCACCATCATTCACTCCATCACTATCTTGCCAGAAGGGTGCTTTACACTACAGTTTTTAAACTGCAACATTAACACCCCTCCTTCAGAGTGCAGGCACTGTACTTCCCATCTCCAGGACTCAAGTCCAGCCTGCCGGTTTCCCTGAACCCCTTCATAAATGTTACTTTGCTCACACTCCAACAGCACGTCAAGTATTAAAAACCATTTGTCTTCATTCACTCCTATCAAACACGCTCACGCATGCCTGCTGGAAGTCCAAGCCCCTCGCACACAAAACCTCATTTACTCCCTCCCTCCAACCTTTCCTAGGCCGACCCCTACCCCGCCTTCCTTCCACTACAGACTGATACACTCTTGAAGTCATTCTGTTTCGCTCCATTCTCTCTACATGTCCGAACCATCTCAACAACCCTTCCTCAGCCCTCTGGACAACAGTTTTGGTAATCCCGCACCTCCTACTAACTTCCAAACTACGAATTCTCTGCATTATATTCACACCACACATTGCCCTCAGACATGACATCTCCACTGCCTCCAGCCTTCTCCTCGCTGCAACATTCATCACCCATGCTTCACACCCATATAAGAGCGTTGGTAAAACTATACTCTCATACATTCCCCTCTTTGCCTCCAAGGACAAAGTTCTTTTTCTCCACAGACTCCTAAGTGCACCACTCACCCTTTTTCCCCTCATCAATTCTATGATTCACCTCATCTTTCATAGACCCATCCGCTGACACGTCCACTCCCAAATATCTGAATACATTCACCTCCTCCATACCCTTTCCCTCCAATCTGATATCCAATCTTTCATCACCTAATCTTTTGTTTATCCCTCATAACCTTACTCTTTCCTGTATTCACTTTTAATTTTCTTCTTTTGCATACCCTACCAAATTCATCCACCAATCTCTGCAACTTCTCTTCAGAATCTCCAAAGAGCACAGTGTCATCAGCAAAGAGCAACTGTGACAACTCCCCCTTTATGCGTGATTCTTTATCTTTTAACTCCACGCCTCTTGCCAAGACCCTCGCATTTACTTCTCTTACAACCCCATCTATAAATATATTAAACAACCACGGTGACATCACACATCCTTGTCTAAGGCCTACTTTTAACGGGGAAATAATTTCCCTTTTTCCTACATACTCTAACTTGAGCCTTACTATCCTCGTAAAAACTCTTCACTGCTTTCAGTAACCTACCTCCTACACCATACACCTGCAACATCTGCCACATTGCCCCCCTATCCACCCTGTCATATGCCTTTTCCCAAATCCATAAGTGCCACAAAGACCTCTTTAGCCTTATCTAAATACTGTTCACTTATGTGTTTCACTGTAAACACCTGGTCCACACACCCCTACCTTTCCTAAAGCCTCCTTGTTCATCTGCTATCCTATTCTCCATCTTACTCTTAATTCTTTCAATAATAACTCTACCATACACTTTACCAGGTATACTCACAGAACTTATCCCCCTATAATTTTTGCACTCTCTTTTATCCCCTTTGCCTTTATACAAAGGAACTATGCATGCTCTCTGCCAATCCCTAGGTACCTTACCCTCTTCCATACATTTATTAAATAATTGCACCAACCACTCCAAAACTATATCCCCACCTGCTTTTAACATTTCTATCTTTATCCCCTCAATCCCGCTGCCTTACCCCCTTTCATTTTACCTACTGCCTCACGAACTTCCCCCACACTCACAACTGGCTCTTCCTCACTCCTACAAGATGTTATTCCTCCTTGCCCTATACACGAAATCACAGCTTCCCTATCTTCATCAACATTTAACAATTCCTCAAAATATTCCCTCCATCTTCCCAATACCTCTAACTCTCCATTAATAAAATCTCCTCTCCTATTTTTAACTGACAAATCCATTTGTTCTCTAGGCTTCCTTAACTTGTTAATCTCACTCCAAAACTTTTTCTTATTTTCAACAAAATTTGTTGATAACATCTCACCAACTCTCTCATTTGCTCTCTTTTTTCATTGCTTCACCACTCTCTTAACCTCTCTCTTTTTCTCCATATACTCTTCCCTCCTTGCATCACTTCTACTTTGTAAAAACTTCTCATATGCTAACTTTTTCTCCCCTTTCTACTCTCTTTACATCATCTTCCACAAATCGCTCCTCTTCCCTCCCGCACCCACCTTCCTGTAACCACAAACTTCTGCTGAACACTCCAACACTACATTTTTAAACCTACCCCATACCTCTTCGACCCCATTGCCTATGCTCTCATTAGCCCATCTATCCTCCAATAGCTGTTTATATCTTACCCTAACTGCCTCCTCTTTTAGTTTATAAACCTTCACCTCTCTCTTCCCTGATGCTTCTATTCTCCTTGTATCCCATCTACCTTTTACTCTCAGTGTAGCTACAACTAAAAAGTGATCTGATATATCTGTGGCCCCTCTGCAAACATGTACATCCTGAAGTCTACTATGCAAAAACACAGTACACAGTTCATGAAAGCTAGGTCAAAATGATATGCTGATTTTTTACAAACGGTAAGATAGAAGTTAATGAATATACAATGTAAGCTTTTGGACACTAATTTCACTGGAGTGTATGTAATTATTGAGAAGTAAG